AATGCCCCAGAGCAGCAGGCTGTGGGTGAGGCTGGACAGAGTGTCAGAAATGGGCTCTTGATGGTGTGTGGAGTTGGGGTTGCAGGAGTACTGAGAACCATCATAGACAGGATTTTAGACCAGAGAGTGAGGACACGCAGTTGACCCTTGAACTACGCGGGCTTGAACTGTGCAGGTCCACTGTTTTCAATAAATTGGAACAAACAGCACAGCACTGTAAATGTATTTTCACTCCCTCATCACATTCTTAAGACTATTTCTCTCCTCTAGCTTCCTTTGTTGCAAGAATACAGAATATAATACATATAACATACAAAACAGGTTTAAACAACTGTCCATATTACCAGTAAGGGAGTAGCCGTTAGTAGTTAAATTTGGGGGGCATCAAAAATTGTATGTGAATTTTCAGTTGTTAATGGGGTTGGCACCCCAATATCTGCCTTATTCAAAGGTCAACTGCTGTTGAATCCATGTCTGAAGGGTGAAGGGATCTTCTAGACCCAGCACTAAACTGTGACCATAGAAACAGACACATCACTGGGCTGCTCCCCAGGCCCTCCTACCTCCTGCCTGAGTCCCTGAAGCCCAATGCTCTGGCAGACCACAGCCAGCTCCTGCTCGTTCAGATGGCCGCTGCTGCCCACTCCCAGCTCTTCCCAGATGCCCCGGACCTGACTTTCGGGGGTGTCAAAGGAGGGGCTGCTGGACTTCTGGGGGCTCCCAAAGATCTCAGAGCCCCAGGACCGCAGCTGGTCTGAAGTAAGAAGATTCACAGTTAAAACACACTGACACACATAATGGAATATTGTTCATTCAGCCTTGAAAAGGAGAAAATCCCTGTTGCTTTCACAAGAGGGTGAACCTGGAGGACGGCATGCTGGGAGACAAACTGGACTTTGTCACACAAACACCGCGTGGCCCCACTCACATGTGGAAATCTGGAAAAGGTGGAGCTCACAGTAACAGAGGGAAGCACAGAGGTGACCAGGGTTGGAGGCCAGGAAGGGCGAGGTTGCTCAAGGACTGTAAACATTCTGTGAGGGTTCGTCTGGAGACACAAGGAGCAGCCTGCTGACTGGTGCATCACGTGTGTTGCATACGCAGCATCTGCTGACCTCACACAAAGGTCAGTACAAGAGCTAAGGGGTGTGTTCCTGAGTGGTTTTGTGACTATCACTTCACAGCGTATACCCATATCTAATCATCACGCTGTCCACCCTAAGTACATATGATTTTATTGGTTAATCACACCTTAGTAAAGCTGGTGAAACCCAAGAGTCAAACTCTGCACTCCAGACTGAAGCCCTTGGAGGAAGATACAACAGTACCTGCAATGACCCTGAAATCTGATGGCTGAAGGGATGGACAGATGGACACACAGGAGTCATATAGGATCAGAGGTGGAAACTAGGTGATGGGAATATGTGTGTTATTGGTGCAGTTCTTTCCCCTTCACTCCTATTTGCAAACTTTCTTAATGAAAGCTTGGGGAAACCCCTACCTCACACTGTAGAGAGCACACAAAAGAGGGCTAAGTTACTTATTTACAATTAAAAGCCTAGTTTAAAAAAAAATTAATTGGGGACCAGCAGGTGGCATGGTGGTTAAGGCGCTGGACACTCCCACATGGCTGACCATGGTTCAAGTCCTGGACTTGGTGGTTTGCTTTCTCACTTCCCTTCTCTTTCTCTTTCTGTGTCTGTCAAATTAAAAATAAATAAATGAATAAATAAAATTTAATAAGTAATTATTTTTAAAAAAAGAAGAAAAATAATAATGGTTAGAAACTTTTCAAACATATCAAAGAAAAAAAAAAAAAAGAGCCTGTGAAGCCCAGTGCACCTGCCCCCCAGGATCAGGGGGGATAACCACATAAGCAAGTCTTCCTGCGGAAGCACAGGTGCACTCAACTGCAGGTCTCAGGTCATCTCACTGCCACACATTTAGTATCTATTGCTAGAAAATATGGACATTTTCTTTTTTAAAGTCTGTTCATTTCTTCTATGAGTGACAAAGAGAGAGACAGCACCCCCAACAGGGCCTTCAGGCTGTGATCCACTCCAGCCCCAGCCATCCCAGGTAAGGGCATGTGCACATGCACATATGAGGGAGATCCTAGGATGCAAACCCTGGACTGTCCTGTGGGTCAGCCTCACGGAGTGTTGAGTTGTACCACTGTCAGGCCCCAAATATGGGTATTTTCTTACACATGGTGCCACTACTGGATCTAGCAAAACAATAGTTACATCCCAATAATGTCTTGAACAGCTGACTTATGTGAATTGGTCTTCAAACAAAAGCCCTGGAGTGCACTTGTCTGGATTCCTCTCAAGTCTTTGGGTCTCAAGCATTTCTCCTGGCTCCTCACAGACCCTGCCTCCTTAAGAGACCACATCAGTAGTTCTGTAAAAGGTCCTGCATTCTGAATCATCTATTTGATTCTTCTTGGTGTCATTTAATTTGTTCTTCAACCCCTGACATTTCTCACAAAAGAGAAGTTAAGCATCATAGGCTACTCTGCACTCAGGCTCAACTTGTTTTGCGGAAACCCCTTGCAGTAGGGATAGTGCATGGCATGGTGGTTCAGGTGCTAAGTTCCCTCATGGTCAACCACCAGGTTCAAGTTCCAGACCTGCAGCTTGATAATCATGCTGGGTGCATGTGTGTGTATGCCCAAAATCCTGAGAAGAGGAGAGAGGACTGTGGCATGGCCATACCCCTGGAGAGTGATGTGCCCTATGGCAAAAACATAAAAACCATAAAACAAACAAAAAACCTTTTGTGGGTGCTGCCCACTCTCAGTCCACCGCCTTCCCTAGGTCTTCCTTGAGCACTCCACTCCTACTCCTCAGAGCAGCTCTACAGCAGTCTCGTAAAAAGTGTGAGCTCCATGGTTAGAAAGGCCCAGTGTGAACCTTTGGCTCTTTCCCAAGCTCAGCAAGACCCACACCTGTTCCAAGGGTAGAGATGCTCAGAACCCAACAAGCCTGTGGCAAGGGTGAGGTGGGCCTCAGCAAAGCCTCTAGTATAGTTTCCTGGGGCTCTAGGCCTGACTCCACACAGTCCTCGCACACCCACGTCTCATACCTGCCTTGCCAGCAAGCCCCTTTTCTCACTTTTGCAAGCACTACCTAAGACAGCAGTGATTTCTACACCATCCTGTATTTTTGTAGTCTGTCATAAGTGTGGGTCTTGTCCCCCAACTCATACTCTAGAATGCTTGATGCTTGAGTAATATTTTAGTTTTGTATGTTAAGTATTATAGGAACATACAGGTAATCACAATGGAAAGGAAGTTCCCCTCCCCCAGTACCTCTGCTCCACCTCCTAGAGGCAGCTCCTTGGAATAGGCTTTGGCCTGGACATCTAACATGATTCTGTTCCCACAGAAACATGTAATGCTGCAGCACAACAGAAAGACAGTGAGGGACTCCAGGTCCCACTTGTGCCTGTGCACCAGTCTCATTCCCAAAGCATCAGACCTTGTTATAGTGCCACAGCAACCCAGCAGCCAAGCCCTCCCTCCGGGCGCCGTGCTCTGTTCTGGTGCAGACGTGCTGTAAGCGACTTACATGTGTCAACCACAGGCCTGTCGCTTGCTGTGTAAAGCTCTCAAGAAACAGAACCTTGTCTTACTCTATTTGGTGCACACGTGAGACTCCTCCTTCACAGCAGAAAAGAGGCTGTGTCCAGGCCCAGCATGCCAGGGAGGAGGTGCAGGGCAAGCCCAGAAGTGACCAGGTCGGGCAGGGCCCTCTAGCCTGAGACTCCCAGAATAAGTCTGCTGGCTGGGGGCCCCAGGCTGTGAAACACAGCAGAACCACACTGCATACTCAGTAAGTGATCTCTGCCCCCGGGCCTGACCTCAGGGGGCTGAGGACTGAGTGACCACCTTGCAGCTGTGATGAGGATATTCTGAACACTCCTAGAGATAGGGCCACCAGGGACACCATCCACATGTGCATTTCCTGGAAAATTACACTTGAGACTGGGCTTGTTCAACTACCCAGCTCCATGAGCTTTCTAAGTACGGGCTGAAGACAGAGAGCACCAAGTGGAAGGCCAGGGCTTTACCTTGTGCTCCGAACAATTCATCCTGAGGTTCTCTGGCACTCTCAGCTTCTTCATCTGATTTGAGACTCTGCAGAAAAATGTAGGAAAGGGTGTGAATTTCCCCAGAGGACATCACAATGCATGGTATACCAGGAACAAAACGAAAAAGATGTTTTGCATAGAGGAGGGATGACAGAGGATGTGGGGTCAGCACTCGGAGAAACTCACACCTTGTAGGCCTTCCTGCCGGTCAGGCTGCCCAAGTTGAGACCCAACCTCGGGTCCCTGTCAGGCAGCAAGAGAATGGCTTGGACGCACTTTGTTTTGCTCACTGGGGCTCCCGAACCTAAGCCAGAGCCACCCTGTGTAGCTCACGCTGAGGACAATCACACCGTGTGCCCTGAGAGAAGAGAGGCACGCCCCTGACCAGCACCTCTTCCTTGTGCTGGTGTGGACACTCAGTCAACATTCTAGTCACGGGATACTTGAGATGTCATTGCCTCTGTGCACCTCACTGATCTCCCACAGCAGTTTGGCAGATATCAGGGAGGAGGGGCGAGTCTGGGTCCCTCCAGGGGCTCCAGGGACAGCATGGTGCACAGCAAGACCTGATACCTCAGAGGCATTTGTAATCTTGCATCCAAGACAGGAGGCACAGTCACTGAGAAACATGTGATTTAAATGAAAATCTCATGCTTGGGGCCAGCAGGTGGTGTGGTGGTAAAGGCGCAGGACTTCCATACAATCGATTGTGGTTCGAGTCCCAGACCTAGTGACTTACTTTTTCTCTCTCGCTGGTCAAACTGAAAAATAATAATAAATATATACTGAATGTCTGCACTCTATGACTGAAACTGACTGACTAAATCAAAGTGAGCCTATCAGTAGGCTGACACTTGTATATGCCAGTATATTCCTCACACACACAAAGCCATTTCTTTTTTGCATAGCCAGTCAGTGTCCTATTCGGAAGTATAGGAAGAAAACTACCTGCAGGGACCAGCAGGAAGTGTGGTGGTTAAGCCACTGGACACTCCTACATGGCCAACCACAGTTCAAGTCCTGGACCCGGTAGCTTGTTTTCTCACTTTTCCTCTCTCCCTCTCTCTCTGTGTCTCTCTGTGGCCATATTAAAATAAATTAATGAATAAATAAAATTAAATTTAAAAAAAGAAAAACTCATGTTTTAGTGACAGAATTAGCAAGCCATAACTGTATTGTATGTCCCCATAACTTTTTTTTAAGGTTCTTGCCATAGGGTGTGTGCTCTCACTGGAGAGAAACAGACTGCGCTGGGGGAGTCAGAAATCATCCCCCAGAGGGGTATCACACTGAGCCTTTCCCTCATACCTTCTTCTTGTGGTTTTGGGCATACGCATGCATGCCCCAGCGTGACTTTCTTTCTTTTTTTTTTTTTAAAGAATTACTTGTCTTTTCATTTTATTCATTATTATTATGTTTAAAGACAGTGATGCCATTTTCTTTTATTTATTTATTTATTGCTATTCTTCAAATTTTTTCCTTCTTCTTTTTTTTTTTTTGTAGAGGATTTTTTCCTATAGGGCGCATGTGCTCGCCAGAAAGACAGAGAGAGACAGAAAGCAAGAAATCACCCTCCCGGGGGGATGGCCATGCCGTAATCCCTCCATTCTCCTCTCAGGATCTTGGGCGCGCATGCACGTGCACCCGGCGTGAGTTTAAGCCACCAGGTCCGGGACTTGAACCGTGGTCGACTACATAGGAGTCCAGTGACATAGCCATTACACTAACTGCTGGTCCCGTTATTCTTCAATTTAACCAGAGAAAGAGAGAGAGAAAAGGAGAATAAGAAAGCAAGCCGCCTGGTCCAGGACTCAAACCCTAGTCAGCCATGTGGGAGTCTAGTGCCTATACCACCTACCAGCCCTTATTTATTATTATTTTTAACTGGACAAGAGAGAAAGAGAGAGAGAGAAAGTAGAAAAGCAAGCCACTAGGCCCAGGACTCGAAATGTAGTCAGTCATGTGAGAGTCCAGCGTCTCAACCACCACTGCCACCTGCCAGCCTTGCACCAGCATGATTTTCAAGCTCTCAGGGTCTAGCATGGTCAGCACCTTAATGACCACGCCACCTGCTGGTCCCCTGTAACTACTTTGGAATGACTGCCTGAGTGACCAAGACTCTACTCTTCAAAGCTAGCATGGGTCAGAACTAGTAAGCCAGGAATAAATAATGGCTATGGTTAGTGTCTCCCCAAAATGTGTGTGTTGAGATTTGGTTGTTATGGAAGTAAGAAGGTGAAAACTTAATCTATGAAGTTGAGAGAGGTTCTAGGGAGAATATTAGAGTTCGGGTCACTGGGGCAAGGCTCCCATTACTGACTGCTGGGAATTTTATAAGAGGAGACAGAGACACCAATGGACACAGACATACACTCGGCCCTCTGCCACGCTGGGAGCAGCATCACTAAATGGGACTGGACTTTGGACCTCCAAACCACTAGCTGAATAAACATCTATTCTCTTAAATTACCCAGATTCAGGTGTTTTCTGTTATTGGCAATAAAACAAATTAGAACAACATTCAACCCCATTTTCCTAATCCATTCAACTCAATTGCCAATCCTAAAAGCAGCTTTCTCTGTGTTTATATTTTGGGTTCAAAAATTATTTTAAAGTGTTTCTGTCATGTTTTTTGCTCTTATTTCTTCCATGAGAGAGAGATGAAGACAGAGAGAAAAGCAACCCCACAAGTTCTCTCTCCATGCCATGAACCACACTCAGCCTCTGTTGGACTGGATCATAGGTAGGAGTGCCTGGCATGCATAAGGAGGCTTTGGATGTGAACCAGGGACCTTCTCATGTGTGTCCAGTTGCATTTCCACCAACAACCTTTGGGCCCTGAAAAGTTGATTTTAGAAGCAGAGTGGTAGCAACAATGAAGAAGCACCATGGTGAAGGGTAGGCTCACTCGACACTCCATTCCTGAGGTCTAAATTAAAAAAAGATTAAAAAAGAACCATCCTAGATTTGATGGTGTTGCCCAGGTGTAATAAGTCTCTGAAAGAAGAGATTCTAAGACTTAAATATATGTTTGTTTTCCCTCTTTGCCTCAGCAAATGTTAAAATTATAAACAAACTAATTAGGGACCCAGAGTTGCCTATTAAAGAGTAGTTCCTGGGTCAGCTGGTGGCATGGTGGTTAAGGAGACTAGAAGCCACATGGCTGGGTATGCACTTTGAGTCCTAAATCCAGCAGCTTATAAAACACACCAGGCACATGTGTGTGCGTATTCAAAATCCCTAAAGGAGGGAAAGATGGAGAAGGGATTGTAGCATGACCATCCCCTATGGCGGGTGCTTTCTTACTTTCTCTCTCACTCTCTGGCAAATTAAAAAGAGAGAGAGGAGGGGCCGGCAGGTGGCATGGTGGTTGAGGGTGCTGGACTCCCACATGGCTGACCACAGTTCAAGTCCTGGACCGGGTGGCTTGCTTTCTCACTCTGTATCTCTCTGTTCAAATTAAAATAAATAAATAAGTATAGATAAAATAATTATTCAAAAAAGAGAGAGAGAAGAGACAGAAGTTCTCAATACAGTTCTATCTGTCATTAAGTTTCTAAAATCCTTGAAAATGGGTTTATTGAGTCCTCATAAGTTATGGACCTGACCTGTGGGTTTCTTTCTTTACACAAAATGCCATGGTCTCCAGCAGTCTGGCTCCCCAGTGACACCAAGCACCTGCAGCAAGTAGTTCGGGGGGCTGTAGGGCAAGGTCAACTCCCAGGGCCTAGAGAGCCTCGCTCATATCCCCAGTTGTAGTGTGTGTTGTTGACAGAGAGAAAAGGGAAAACTATGGCTTTTCCCATATCTCATCACTCACTAATCGCACAATGAGGGAGTACAGGATCAGGCCATGAGACATGTGGCCTCCTGCTCTCTGGAGTCACTTGCTATGGAGGAGTCGGCTGCCATGTTGGGAGGACAGTCAACCTTTGGAAACCCAATGCCATGTTGGGAGGACAGTCAACCTTTGGAAACCCAAGTCCTGCTGTGCTGTGTCCCCCCCCCCATCTCCCTCCTGTTGCAGCCATGTGGCAGCTTTATTGAGATTCAGCACAGGGTCGGAAGGGAAGCCCTTCCACCTGAGAGGTCCCTGCTGGTCTGGGTGAAGTGGATGAGTATGGGAGAATGTGCTGATGGCACGTGGGCCTTGGCATGTGCTGAGGCAGGCGGGATGGTGGACTTGTTACAGCCACACTCCTCACCTCAAGGCTGTGTGAATAGGTGTCTCCCCTTTCTGCCTTCAGCTATTACCATTCACTCATGAAGCCACCAAAATCTCCTTCTTGAAATAACAGCAGAGGTGGCAGTGGGTGAGACCCGAAGGATTTATGCGGACTTTCTCCAATGCCCTGGGTCTGTAGCCATGACAGGAAGACAATCGGACCTGACACAAGTTAAAACAAAGTATGAACTGCATATCTGGGAGTCCCCCGCCCTCCTGTATCTGCTCGTGACCATGTGCTACAGACAGTGATGAAGTGAAATGGTGCTTCCCCAATATGGGCAACCTGGGTGGAGGGAGATGGCCCAACCCACCTCCACACTTTCCAGAGATGCAGAACTTCGGAGCTGACTTCTCAGGCTGGCCTTGGTTTGCTGCTCCAGTCCACATGTGGCTTCAGCCGAGTCCCTCAACTCGGGCTGGCTCCGGCGGCCGTACCACTTAGAGCCACGCACATACTTGGGTGGGACGGCATGGGAGGTGGCTGGAAGAAAAGAAGGAGATTTGGGGGGTGCCCTCTGAAGCAGGCTCTGGGCCCTCATACACTGGCCATCTTTTGTAATGTCTTCAGTATGGTTATTTGTATAGAGCAAACGAACTGCATATCAAGTGGCCACAGCCTTGGCTTCCACAGACGCCTTGGTGATGCAGGGTTACCGAACAAATAAATTCAAATGGCAAGTCTCTCCTGTTGCCATTGAATCAATCCCAAACATACTTTTGGGCTCAAAAAGTGAAAAGTAATGCTACTGAACAAATACTGGGCAGCATTAACCAAAATTTTTTCAGACTCTTGGTCATAATGATCTTTATGGTTAACACTGAATCAGAGACCAAGCCTTTTTTGATTACCCAGCTACCTCCAAGCAACCTGAAAACTGTGGATCCTGAACACTCTACAGTGCCCCTAGTAGGTCTTCTCTTTCAAGAAGATGGTCAAATAACGATCGACCCTCCTTGATAGTTGGTCAAAGTACTGAAACACTGTTCTTCAAATAACAGTGCATGGGGCTGGCAGGTGGTGTGGTGGTCAAGGTGCTGGACTCCCAAATGGACGACCATGGTTCAAGTCCTGGACCTGGTGGCTTGCTCTCTCACTCCCTCTCCCTGTCTCTCTTTGATCAAATTAAAATATTAATTATGATATGTAAATAATTTTTAAAAAAACAACAGTGCAATGTATGTGGTACATGTTTGGACTGGTTGCAAACAGCACCCAAAACCAACTCTGAGCAGCCTGCCCTAAAGTGTCAGAGTTACAAAAGGTATACATGGACATTTTTACAAGCATGTGTAATAACATCAAGGATCTGGGAAGCATTCTGATTAAAGGCATACTGCTTAGGAGAGCACTGGCAAGGTTTAATTCTCAAGAGCTAAAATGCAGAGAAGTATTCCCAGCTGTCCCCCTGGGTACAACCAATTTTCTCAAAATGGATACCAGAGGCCACCCAAGGGTCAAACAACAGCTCCAACAGTTGGTTCTCCATAGGCTTAGCTCTGGAAGTTGAAGTCCTACGGAGAAATAAACTCATTTTTTTGGTATAGAAATGACAGTATGCTAACTGGTATCTAATAAATTTAAGAATGGTTTATCGCTGTGTCGATATCAACATTTGAGGACATCTTAGAGCACCGGCTAAGTCTGTCAATCTTTATCTATAATCAGTGTACCAGGAAAAAAAAATTGCAGAACAACTAGAAGCTGAGAAAAGTCATCATCTTGAGATTACTTTCGTCAGCTCCTCTTGTTTTCAAAATTCCATGGTGGAATGCAGTTGGATGTCAACCAACCAGATAAAAGCTGCAGATTCAACACAAGGTGTGAATCACAGATGTGCACTATTTGTGCACAGAACCATGTGGAAGGACACGAGAAATGGTTACGACTCTATTACTAGGGGTTGGAGACTCAGAAAGCAGGTCTTTCTTCTAAACTCTATGTGTATATGTATTTTTTTCAAATCATAATTTGCTTTTATCTATGTGATAAGAGACTAATACAAAATCTAGCTTTTGATGCAAAGGAAAGAACCCCTTCAAAAACCTGTGAACACAGAGCTCCAGAGACCCTGGGGCTGGTAAGCTGTGGGCAGATTTCTGAAGGTCTGGAGCACAGGCAGGTGTGGATTTCAGGTTGGGATTCATAAGCATTCCCTAAACCCTGTAATACTTTGTCTTCCTCCTTCCCTCCATATTCTTCCACATCTGCATAGACCAGCAGGGAAACTCATGCTGAGACCCTATGCCAATCCTAACCAAGCCACCATGTGGAGGCAGCAGGAAGAAGATGGGGGTGGGAGGATGGGGGGAAAGGGGATTTGCACATGCAAATGGGGTTTAGAAGGAGGAGGCAACCAGAGCAGGGCTGAATTGAGGGAAAAGGGTGGCACCTGTCCAGGAAAGGCCCAGCCAGGAGAATGAAGGAGTGCTTCCTTACAGAAGGGTCTATGTCATGTGCCCTCATGTTTCGTCTGTACCCCACACAGCTTGTCCGCAGTCCCTGACCTTGTGGTGGGAGGCTGGGTCAAGCATAGCTGACCAGAACAGCAGCCATGAACAGGTGGAAAAAGGATGAGGAGCCTGTGTGAGGAGAAAGGCACTGGGTCTGCTTGGGACTTGCTGAATGTGAAGTGATGGAGTGACCCAGAGAAGCTGATAGCGTGTAGAGTGACTAACCAATTCCTCACCTGCTGGGACACTTAGAGTCTTCATGGGCCTGCGAACAACCACCTGGGACAATGACAGAAGCAGGGCTGGGCCCAGCAAACTCAGGGGAAGACGGTGCATGCGAGTGTAAGAGAGAAGAAACTTCCCAGCCAGCTGTGAGCTTTGAGAGAACACCTAAGAAAATGCACCAGCACCCAGAGGGCTGGCTTCAAATACGGAGAATAGTGCTCTGTAAGAGCTGCTGATGGAATGAATGGCAGCCAAAAGAGAACAGCTCTTGTTTCTGTACTTGCTTTGTTCACTGAGAGGCCGGCGGGCCACAGGGCTGAGGAGAAGGCTCTGTTTTGCTTGAGGAGACCCTGGAGGTGCAGCAGAAGTTGGGGTACCTCTGGAAACCAGGCAGGAGGAAACTCAGAGACCACTCTGCTCACCACCCCCTTGGGCAGTCTAATCTGCTGCAGAGGCAGATCCCCAGCCACCACGCCTGCCACCTTGGCCACATCCTAGGGCTCAGGTCACCTACAGATGATGCACTAGCACGACGTCTGCTTCCTGGCTTGACACTCCATGTCTGGGCAACCCTTAAGGCTGATGGCCCACACCATCTCCCCCATTTTAGCCAGTCAACATTTCCCTGTCCTAAAGGAAAGAACCACCCGAAAAACACATGCTATTTTCCAGATCCCCCATGTTCTCACATGAGCAGTCTGGAAATGTCTTACCACCTTCTTTGGGAGAAATGCTATCCAGAAGGGAACCCACGTGGACAGTCAAGACAGAAGGAAGAACAGTGAGAGGACAGGTGATGATGAAAATGAGGGGGCAGCTTGCAGGACCCACAGACCAAGAACCACAAGTACCATTTGCTCGGGTGGGCAGCAGGAACCTCTCCAGAACCACAGCAGCCTCGCAGTGCCTCCAAACCCCTGCATATCTGGTGTGCATCTGTCCTGGAGGTGTGCATTTATCACAGGGAATGTGTAAGAAAGCCTGAATTAAAAGACACTCAGCTATGTTCAATAAGGGCCTTTAACAAAAGGAGGAGAAAGAAAGAAGAGGAGACAGGCTGTTCTTCAAAGTCTAAGGGATCCTGAAACCCTGGGCTATCAAAGCATATTTTCCTGATCATGGTGGGAGATATGGGAGGTTGAGCAGAGAGATGAGAATCAAACAGTGATGCCACCAGGGTGGATGGGGCCTGAGGACACAGCCTGGGTATATCTGGGACAGAAGGACATGTGGAGGGGGTAGTGGGTAGGGCTGGAGGAAGGGAGAGAGTGAGCCAGGCTGAGGGCTGAATGAATGCCACCCTGGGAGATTCTGCTGGAGTAGGTGCTGGGTCAGCCCTTCAAGTGTGGACACATGTCTTTCTGGATGGCTGTTTAGCTCTGAACAGGGACAAGCCTCATCTGTGACACTAGGAAGCTAACTCAGGTAAGGCAGGGGATTGGACCATTTAGTCACAGAGGAAGACTTTGAAAATCTAATTTCAAAGAAAAGAGAAAAAAAAAAAGAAAGAAACTGGAATTGGTGAGAGTGGAGGTGCAAGACTAGCCTCCTGTGTCTGTGGAAGAACTGAGCCCATCTCACAGTGGCGGGAGCTGCTGGAAGGGGGCCTTTCCATGGTCCCTAGCCCAGACAGGGAGCAGCCAGGTTGCTGGGGCTATCTTACGGTACTGGATGTCCAGACCCCCTTCCAAACTCTTACACCTTGGGAAAAGCCAGTGGCCCTCCTCACATCCTGTAGATGAGAAGCGAGACAAAGCAGTCTCACTAGGGCCTGGTAGGGGGCTGACTCTGGCCCCAGGGCTCCTCCCATGGTATCTGCCTCACTGGCCAGCAAGAATAGATGGGAAGAGATGACCAGCCCCCAGCAGAAGGAACCATTCTGGCTGAGCAAGGGTGCATGAGGCATAGGCCTAAAGCTGGAAATGCAGCCCGGAGCCCTGGATACCACACATTAACTGTGGGCTTGTGCACAAACCCCTTCTCACCTCAGGCTTCAGGTTCCTCATGAGAATATGACAAAGTCACAAGATTTCCATGGGCATTAAATACAACCTACATAAAATGCACACAGATGTGCTCAATGCCTGGCATAGGGGAAGCTCATGGACCTAGGGCAGCGGCCTGCTATGGGCCGAGAGAAGGTGCCCATCACTATTCCATGGACCTTCTGACATGGGGTCCTGGCACTGGGGGATGGGATGTCGACTGGTGCCATATTTGACTCTGAGCAGACCTCCCCACAACACTCTCCCTATACCCCCTGACCAGCCTGAGGCCAGGGGCTTTTCCCACTTGTTTGTTATCACCAACCTCACATCTATAATAGGATTCCCCTCAGCCATGTTAGCACAAGGCACCAGCAGGGTCTGAGAAACACCAGATACTGGTCTGCCCTGGGCTGGTGGCCAGTCAGCCTGCTGGACACCCTCAAGGCCCAGGCGGCAACAGCTCGCATCCACACTGCACTTGTAACTGAGGTCTTCTGCTCCTCTAACCCCTTGATCTATTTACAAGCCCAGGCTTCAGGCACAGCACACATGAGGGGCTGAAAACAGGTCACGGGAGATATGTGCTAGGAAAAAAACACACTTAGATTTCAAGTTTTTTGCAACCAAATGAACTCGCACTTCAATTCCATTTTTCCAAGAACTTTCTAAAGTCATGATTACATGACACTATTTTACAAATAAGAGAATGAAAGAAGAGCCCAAATGTTTTATACAAGTTGGCAGTGACAGAAAGTGGGGGTTAGAAGTTGGTTTTCAGAACTGCCGACTGCTTTCATTAAAATATTATACTCCAAAAGGCAACAATAAGAAAAAGAAAGAATGTTGATAGAAAGAAATCTTCTTACCTGATTCCAAAGAACCACTTTCTGCATCCGAGGGGCTGACACCAGCATTTGATGACAACACGGCAATAAACCCTTCCTTAAATTCCTCAAAGTTAACCTGGGTGAGTGTAAGTGAAACAAGAACACTGTTACTCTCAACTGACCTCATATTTAATATGGTACTCTTTCGGGTACTTTTCTCAGAGAAAAAAGTTCTATTGTTGCCTGTTAAATGGAGAATATTCATTTTGTTGTTTCAAATATTGATATTTACTTAAGATACTTTAAAATAGAAAAGTACATAAAATATGAAGTGAAAGTAAGCCACAATCCCACTGTCAGACAAACACTATGGTGGTGCCAAAAATCTTAATTTGTCAGAGATTCTTTTTTCTTTTTTTCCCTACTTTCTTCCTTTCTCCCATGAGGGAGCAGAGAGAGAGACAGGAAAGAGGGGGGCGGGTACAGAGAGAAGCACCATCCATAGGTTCTGGCCACACAGGTGTGCTTGGTCTGGAATATTCAGAGGTACATGCTTTGATATGAGGTCTTTTTTCTATGTATGTTTCAACGAAAGTCACACAGAAACAAATCAACAGCATGGGTTATTAGGTTGCTTAAAATATCACCAGTAATTGTTGGAAAAGCAGTTTTGGGGATATAGGTCCAGGCATTCTTCCCAAATCTGGCAAAGACTTTGTAAGAACACATCTCTATTGCTGTCATTGAGTATAAAATACTGCCTTTTGTTTTTTGTGAATACTTCTGCCCGGGGACATTCATGTATTAACGTTGTCAGAAAAGTCATGATACATTTTTGCACAGAAAAAGATGTTGTGACTTTTCTGATGACCCAATATCATTACCAGATATCAGATTATATATGCATTTGTTTATTTTCTATTTCCTCAGCTAGATTGTGAGCTCACTGCTGACATACAATAGGTATTCAACAAATATTTATTGGATATGTTTGTCTCTGTTTCCTTTCATTGCTGAGTAGGACTGTCCTTCTCTCAGATGCAGTCTTTCACCTTTATTTATGACAGATACTTTTTCTAGGTATAAAATTCAGATTGGTAGATATGTTCCAGCACAATTCAGATATCTTTCACTGTCTCTGGCTTCCACTGCTGCACTTGGTGAAGACAGTGGTCAATCCGACTATGACTCACTTTAAGAATATGTCTTTGGGACCAGCAGTTAGCGTAATGGCTATGTCGCTGGACTCCCACATAGTCGACTGCGGTTCGCGTCCCGGACCTGGTGGCTTAAAACTCACGCCGGGCGCATGTGTGTGCATGCCCAAGATCCCGAGAGGAGAATGGAGGAGAAGGGATTGCAGCGTGGCCATCCACTCTGGGGGGTGATTTCTCGCTTTCTGTCTCTGTCTCTCTTTGTCTGGCGAGCGCACACGCCCTATAGCAAAAACCTCTTCAAAAAAAAAAGTCTTTCCTCTTTGGATTTTTACAAATTATTAAACTTCTCATTTTGAAATAATTATAAATTCACGCATCGGTCATACAAAGAGATTCTTTGTACATATGTCCTATCTCTGCCCGCTTTATTTATTTATTTTGATGGAGGGCTCATGTGCTTACATAACTGAAGAGACAGAGAGAAGGAAAGTGAGAAATCACATCTCAATCTTTTCTTCTTCATTTCTCCTCTTGGAATTCAGGCCATACACACACATGTACCCAGCATGTTTCTCAAGTCACTGGATCTGAGACTTGAACTGCACAGTCAGCCACATAGGATCCAGTTGCTTTCATCACCATGCTTTGGGCTGGCCTACCTGGCTTTTTTAAAGATAATTCTCTCCGTCTTTGTTTCCCTTTAGTTTAATAATAATACAGCCAGGTATAAATGTCTTTTTATTCATCCTCTCTGGAATTCCATGGTTTTTGGAGTCTTCTGAAATCTTCTTTAAGTTTTTTAGCTATTATCACTTCCCATAATGCCCCTCTCCATTCATGCTTTCCTGAAACTCCACGCAAAATGTTGAACTTTCTCATTTCTTCTTTACCATCTCTTTTTTTATATCTTCAAGTGGCATTCTGGGTGATTCCAGTTAATGAATGTTTTTCATCTGTGTATAATGTACTATTAAATCCTTCCACTTAATTTTTAAATTTAGTCATCATACTTTTCCGTAAGTTTTATTTGGCTCATTGTTCAGATCTGTCAATACCACTTTTTTAGCATTCCTTTTTTCCCCCTATACTTTTAAACTTTCTATAAAATCTCTTTTAATATAGTAATATTTGTTTTATATTTTGTACCTAACAATTCCAGTATCTCAAATCTTTGTGAATCTCTTTCCAGTGTTTGTTCTTTCTGCTGATTCTTGTTTGTCCTGTCTTGATTATGTGCCTAGTTGTCTTTGACTGTATGCTGGTCATTATATTTAACTACTACTTAGGAATAATTTCATATCTGGGATAATGTCACTTTCCTCAGAGAAGATATTTGTTTTCTCCATGTGCCTGAGAGCACTGACAATGCAGAACCACCTCAAAGGCTGGAGGTTATCTAGACTATTGAAGGGACACAAGACCAGATCACAAAGCAGCACAATGGCTAACTGACTTGCAGTTCATCTTTACCCTGTGGGATATTCCCTGACTTTTGGAATTGGCTTACCAATTTCTCTACCTTGCATGAACCTGAATTTTGACATATATTTTACTAGCTTTCGAGGTCCCCAAGATCACAGATCAATTTCATGATTGATTACTTAATTTCAGAAGATGCTTTTTTTTATTTCATGAGAGAGTGAAAACACATGACAGAGACAGAGAGAGAAAAAGACAGAGACTGAGACAAGAACCTCCTAATAGGATATAGTCATGCTGTGATCCCCTTCTCCCAACTCTCTATTCAACAGGATCATGGGCATGCAGGTGTCTAGCATGCTTCAGGTCAACTCAGGAGCCAAACTTAAAGTTGGCCATGTGGCTTTCAGCACTGCAAATCAGACACTACTGCCTGCACCACCAAGGCTGGGCTGAGATTAAAAAAATAGTCCCAAAGCAAATGGGAGTTTTGTGTGGGTACCTGACTGATCACAGATTTCTGGACAAGTCATGTCTGGGTACCTGACAGATCAAGATTTTTGGACTAGTCATTTCTCACTGACATGTTTGCTCTTTACTATTTTCAAGATTTTTGTTTTCATTATTTTGTTTAGCTTTTTAAGTTGCCCTCCATAGAACATTCAACTGAGTTTGCTAACTTGCCACTACTGAGGTATCTAAAGACTCTTTGTTCTGTTTTAGGGTTCCATAAAATTTCATCACATATGGGGCTACCACGTGGTGTGGCTCCCAAAAGGCAGACAATGGTTAAAGACTCCCAAATGGCAGACATAAGGTTCCAGTCCTGGACCTGGCAGCTTGAAAATCATACCAGATACATATGTGTACATGTCCAAATATCTCAGGAGGAAAATGGAGAAGAGATTGCAGCATGGTCATCCCTGCTGGGGGGTGGAGGTGTGATATCTCACTTTCCTCTCATTGTCTCTCTCTAGCTCTCTGGCAAGTGTACACTCCCTATGGCAAAACCTTAAAAAAAATTCATCACCATCTGATGGACCTATCAGAATTTATCTAACAAAATCTTATATCAAAAGGGGTGTTTACAGTGACCAGCAGATAGTGTAATGGTTACATTGCTGGACTCCCATGTAGTTGAATGTGGTTTGAGTCCCGGACTCAGAAGCTTAAAACTCATGCCGTGTGTGTGTGTGTGTGTGTGTGTGTGTGTGTGTGCATGCGCACGCCCAAAATCCCAAGAGGAGACTAGAGGAGAAGGGACTACAGCATGGCCATTCCCCCAGGGGGATTATTTCTCACTTTCTGTCTCTGTCTCTCTGGCGAGTGCACCTGCCCTATAGCAAAAATGTTACTTAAAAAAAAAAGGAGGATGGTGTTTTCAAAGTTTTGCTGTTTGAATCAGGACTGGAATAAATCATCTTGGATATATTTCACTTCACATGAAGATAAAAACAGTGTTTCCTTCATCTTGGTACCCTAGCGTCTCGTGTTGTTTGGATCATCTTGGATATATTTCACTTCACATGAAGCTAAAAACTGTGTTTCCTTCATCTTGGTACCCTAGCATCTTGTGTTGACACACGCACACACACACATATATATATATACTTAAATACTTAAATATATGGATTAATAATGAAATGGAAATTTTGCTTGATAATAACTACAGGCTGATTTTTTCCATTCACCAATTAGCAGTGGGATCAGAGGACCCAGATTAGTGCCTTTTTAACTGTTCCTGCACGTTTCCTTGTGTCCTTCTCCTTCACAGCACACAAAAGGGAGAAAGCAACTCCAGGGCACGCAGACCTAATAGGACCTAATAGGACCCACAATCATTTCTCTGTATGTCTTGAACTCATTCTTCCCAAAAAGAAGGGAATGGGGCATGTGATCAAGTCACTTTCAACTCTAAAATTATTTCCAATAACACTACATTAAGAATCATTGTTGTGAGAGAAGAATTCTCTCTAGCCAAGTTAAAAATACTCAAGGTTAAGATCCTCACCACTGATTAAAACAAAACACAAAACCATAAAATAGACATAGAAATTCCATACAAAAGTCCCAAGAATTCTAGGCCATATTTTTTGGGGGGCTTGAAAGCAAACTTTGATAATGTTTCCTTAATAGGAATTTTTCTTTTGGAGAGGTTTTTACTATAGGGTACGTGCGCTCACCAGAAAGACAAGAGAGAAACAGAGAAACAGAAAGTGAGAGATCACCCACTGGGGGGATGGACATGCCACAATCCCTTCTCCTCCATTCTCCTCTCAGGATCTTGGGCATGCCTACACACATGCCCAAGGACTCAAATCATGGTTGACTACATGGGATTCCAGCAACATAGCCATTATGTCAACTGCTGGTCCCAGAGTTATAATAGAATTAAAAACAAGTATACCAGCCAACCTTTGGCA